CGCGAGAAGAGTCTGCAGCGCGACAACCGCGCCGCCACGGGACAGACAGACAGCACGAACGAGTGCATACTCGGCGAGGGCAGCCCGAGGGGTGCTGCTTGCCGCCCTTTGCCGCCTGCCCGGCCCGTCCGGACCGTCCGGACCGCGAGATAGGCCCTCTCGCGCAGGTGCTCACCGCCCCCGCCACGGCCGCTCCCCTTGTTGACTGCTCCATTGACAAACGACACTCACCGACGATCCGACACGACGCGAGGCGACCGAAGGGAAGGGGTGGGGGTGGGGAGAGGAATGGAAGGGGAGACAGGGGAGGGGAGGGGGAGGGTGGGGAGAGGGAGGGGAGGGGGAGAAGGGGAGGGAGGGGGCCGCCCCCGCGGTTTCCACCACGATCCCACAAACTGTACAATGAGAAATTAATACGTTGGGTTTGTCGCCGCCTTGTTTTCACGAGTGTCGCCCAGAAAAGAATGGAAAGGCTGCCCCGGATGCGGCAGCGGCGTTGCGGCGGCGTGCGCCAGCCAAAACAATGCGGTCGCGCTCGCCGACTCTAAATTATTGACAAGACTATTTCAGATCGAGGCTCGGCCCGTCCGACCCGGGCCGCTCTCCGAGGACAGATCGAAGGACGGCGCTTTCATATTTCATATTTTAAAAGCGGCTGCGCATAGATAGAGCGACCGCTTTTGCACCGGGAACACGACATGAGGCGGCGGTCGCGCCCGAATTAGGCGGCAAGAGAGCGAGCGAGGCGCAGCAGCGACAGAGCAGTGCACGGCCAGCGAAGGATCAGTTGTCGACTCGGGCAGGCACAACTCTGGGAACCTTTCTGGCTCTACATTTAGTGTGTGGAACTCAAATCAAACACATGACTGTTCTGAAACAAGACTGGAATCAGGCGCATGCGAACCGATCGACTGCCCTTCGAACGAGGAGTCCTGAGCGAGAACATGTTTGGATCCAGTCGCAGCAGAGCTCGAAGCGCCCTGGCTTTCTGGCGATGCAGGGTGGTCGCCTCGCTTTGGCGGTACCGCTACCGCTTTGCTACTGCACTGCACAGCGCGGCGAGGTCGGCCCGGCCGGCTAGGCTAGGCTGGCTGCCGGCGGCGCGGCTTCTCGCGCGGCTCGCGAGTGGTGCTGCCATTGTCGTGACAGGAGGGCATCAGGCAGCCCGCAGGCAGGCAGGCCGCAGGCAGGCAGGCAGGCCGCGACCAAGTCGGGACATACCTCCAGGAATGAGGCGCCGAGTCGGCGAACTTGTGCCGGAAGCAGGTCAGGCCGTCACAGACCGTCACACGCCGTCACACACCGTCACAGACAGCGAAACAACACACTGTCACACGGCAAGCCGCCTCACACAGACGGCTGCCTCACAAATCGCAATTCACTTGTCAAGTTTCGCACTCGCAGACACATCACACGCGCACTAAGACACTGCACTGTATCCAACGTCTTTGGCACAACGATGTAATCCTTGAGGGTTGGGCTATGACACGGCCCGGCTCGACAAGGCACTGCCGGCAGCACACACACACAAACACACACACACACGTAGAGGCACGGGGCGGCGAGTCGGTATTCGTTCCCGCCGAGAAAGGATGCGACGCGAAGCAACAGCGATCCTGCTCCGATTAAGGCCGGTGCCAGACTGACTGCTAGCGCTGCTGTGCGGCTGCGGCGCGGCGGGCTCTCCACTCCTTCTCCCCAGCCGGCGCGCTGGCGCGCTAGTCTCGCCGCCCGCCACCGTCCAGCGGGGGCGCCACCGGTTGGCAGCAAGCAAGCGCGGGAATGCCGCATTTAGTCAACTGTTGGAGAGCTGACAGGACCCTTCGGTCGCCCGATCAGGATGGAGAGTTCAATACGTTGAGGGCCAACACATGCAAGATAGCGGTGACAAGGTGCAGTAAGTTTGGTAAAAGCGGTTAAAAAAGTGTTGTATGTTTGCTCGTTCTCTTCCCCTTCGCACTGATACTTTCCCTGTTCTCTTGATGGGTCCCTGACCCTTCAGAGGTGGAATGGATCCGAGTGGATGCCAAGGGCACCTTCGAGGGAGGAGGAAGTAGCACTTGTGCCTACTAACAGGGGCAAAGTATGGTCTTTCCCCTACCTTCCAGGCGGTCGTCTGGCTGGCAAGGATGATGGCCCGCATCCGCGTCTGACCGCGCTGCACACGGCACACTTCTGCATGCCTAACGGGCTCGTCCACCTTCTCAAAGAAAAATGTTCAGGTGGGTAAAGTGCTTTAATTTCCCATTCTCCACACGCACTCGATTCTTTTTGACGAGGCCAACACGAATGCTGCTCGATGCAGCACAGCGTGGTGCCGTATCAAGCCCGCTGCACCGGCTCCCCGGGCCTACAGGGCCTACAGGGCCTACAGGGCCTACATCCCGATCCGCCGTCATTTCGACGACAGTCCTTATCTTCATTAGAGGAAGAGAGACGGGGGAGGGGGGTACAAAAGAAAAGCAATCGCCATTGTTGGTGCCAGCGGGACGTCCTAACCAACAACCTGTCCGCACACACACGCGCGGCGGTCTTTCCAGGGCGCGCATCACCAAAACAAAGCGCCATCCTTGCCGCCGCGGGGAAGGACAGCCGATGGATTCGCACGCTGGATGGGTCCGAACAGGAGAATTCAGGAAACGGAGGGAGGGGATCAGATGACCCGCATGACCCCTGCGTCGACTCAACCCCTTTGTCTGTGATTGAGCCATTATATTGGGTGATCAAGGCCCGTCCAGGGGCACAGCGAGCACACGGCCGGGGGGCACGGCGGCCCGGGGCGGCCCGGGCAGGTAGGCACTTGTTAGTTGATGGCCGCGATAAACAGAACGCAGCGACGAGCGCGTCCGATCCATCTCGGGCCATGTGTGGAGCCTGCCAGCCTGCTGCCAGCCTGCCCGTGCGTGCCGCGGCGCCGTGGCCAGTTTTGTGGCTGACCCTCGTCCCGACCGCTGTCACCAGCCACTACACCACCCACCTCGCCTTGACCACGCCTTGGCCACGCCTTGGCCACGTCGTAGCCACCAAAAAACGGCGCGTTTCTTGCCAAGTCCACGACGGCCAGCCAGCGTCCTGGCCAGAGCAATGGCGCCGCCCACGGAAAACACGGAACGCGTAACTCGGTCATCTCCTGGGCCATCCTGGGCACGGCCACGCACGGCTAGGAGGCTTGGACGCGCCCGGATTCCCGGGCGGAGCGCGCCACGGACGCGTCATCGCTGTAGTTGGGAAAGGGGGAGGGGGGATTGCCCTGATACCTGGCGGCGGCCCTCGGGGGCATGGGGCACGAGAGGCCTGATAAAATAATAATAATGATGAGCGCAAGAATAAACGGAAGGACCGAATCCCTTATTCATGAGTCGATAGTCCGTTCGTCGCTGCATGTAGTAGTGATTAGGCTGCACCCTGCGGTGGCGCGCCGCGGCGCCTCCTTGTTTACACCTTCGATCTAAGGTGTCGGTGACGTGTTCCCCGTGAGCAAGTGGGCCAGGCGGGGCCAGGTGGGGCAGAGTGGTGACGTGATGCATGGCGCGCCACCTCTCATCCGGTAAAAACTGAGGTTATCACCGATTGACCGACCAGCTTTGAGGCAACAAAACACTGCTGCTGAGTCGAAATTTCGGCCGGAACGACTGCCACGTCGACCACCGACTGCCCCGAGCACGCGATCGTTAATCGATAACGTTTTCCGCTCATCGCCGCCCAGCGGCGTTGCGGTGTATCTGTTGGCGAAACATCGGTGGGGATTCAAAATATCAATGAGTGCAGGCCTTCCTCCCCCAGCAGTGCCGCGCGGTGCCGCCACGCCCCGCAGGATGGACGACGTGCGGGCTGCCGTCGGCGTGCCGTGCCGGCCATGCTGTGCCCCGCGTCCGTAAATCCAGCGCGTCAGCCACCTCCAAATGACGCTTAATTATCGTCGTAAAGATACAATCAATAAGAGCAGCACTGTCTCACGCAAATTCAAGCCGCGGCCGGCTGTTCCGAGGTCACGCCGTTGCGGCGATGCGGCGATGCGGGGCCGAGGTGTTGCGGCTGGCGGGCTGGCGGGCTAGAGGCGGCGCGGGTGCCTCGTGGCTGCCCGTGGCCGGTGCGGGGTCTCTGGGACTTGCAGTCCGCAGACCATTTAGGCACCCTCCTGCGGCACTAGAGGGATGGAGTCAGGCAATAGGCACTACTTTGCCTCTGGGGGTCGCAAAGGGTTGCAAAGGGTTGTCTCGAAACTCGAAAAAAGCAAGTCTTATGCTTGGAACGGCAACTGCCGAGCGATTCGGGAAGTCGTTCCATCGCTCCCAATGAGTGCGAGCGACGAAGCGACCCCGAGGGCCCTTCAGAATCCGTCTGCTACGACGGCGTCCGCGGCATCTCCGCGCGCGAGTGGAGTATCTGCCGTTTGGAGAGACTCCCTGCTAGAGCCCGCGTGGTGTATCGCCGGACGCGAGGCCCGTGCCGTGGACCCAAGTTGGAATGCTTGTGCTTCTTTGCTGGGTAACCGAAAAGTCAACATAGTTTTCAGTCACAGTGGCATGTGCATGTGGCATGTGGTATTGCAGCAGGTGCTCGACTGGGAAAAGGCGGCTTTCCCCGCAAAAGCGCCACCTTTTGAGGATGGTCAAAAATTGGCACTTTACGAAAGGCGGATCTAGAGGCGGGTCGCAGATAGTGCAGCCTACAGTGCAGCAATTTGCGAAAACGGTCAGTAGGACTGCAGTGAATGCCAAATGACGCCGAAAATTGAACTGAGCGCCGCGGCCGGGCTGAAGATGGCTCACGCTTGTACTTTGCCACAGGCCGAGTGACAATGCACTTTTGGGGATCAACGGGTAGGTAACCCGCATGGCGCGTGGCGTCCAGTCATGGTCCAGTTGCGTCAGAGACAGAGAAGCTTCTTCGTCCGTAGTGGCGCGGCGCAGCGCGGCGTGGAGTGGGAGAGGGGGCACGGCGGCTAGGCGGCTGGCTGGCTGGCGGCTGGCTGGCGGCTGGCTGGCGGCTGGCGTGCCGGTCGCTGCCGGCAGGGCCGGCAGGCTCAGTCAGTCATTAACGCTCCAGCCTGAGCGTAGGACGTGCCTCACATCAGCCCAGCTATGGCGTATCTCGCCATCCAGGTAGGACGCCGGGAAAATAAGTGACAAAACGGAATCGGTGGTTAAAATGCATTTGATGTCGATTTAGCTGTGGTGCGGTGCGTCGCAAGAGCCGCGGGCCATCGAGATCTCGATCGAGATCGGGAAAGGGAAGGGAGCTACCTTCGGCGGCATGGATCACTGCGTTGGTTTTAGGTTTTAATGTGAACCCAGCCGCATGGGCTCTGTGCTGAGGATTTTTGGGCTGGGCGAGGCGCGGCGGGCCGTAGATTCTCAACGTCAGAGCCGCCGTTGGACAACGCCGAGCCGAACCGGCTGTCTCGTCTGTCGGCATGGTCGGCCGGTGGGCTGGTGCCGCTACAGCAGCTAGAGCTACAGCAGTCCCGTTCTTCCCTCTTCACTCCTAGTCGCGCTGCCCTTTGCCGCATCCAACCGGAAGGACGGTGCTGCTCGTTCCTTGTTCCGAGTTCAGTGATGAAGCCTGCGGCTGCCGACTGATTCCGAGAGTTGTTTGGGTCGCTCCGTCTTTCTCGCACTCATGAGGCGTCACGCATAGGTGCGAGAGAGACAGAGCGACGGAAACGACTCTCAGTCTACTGATGTTCTTGTCAACCGCGACTCCTCTCCTCACCGGCCTCGCTGACGGCGGCTGACGGCCCCCCACTCGGACCGAACATTTCCCCCCCCCCCCCCCCCGGCTCTCTGGTCACACGCAAACACGATGGGCGGGCCGCACCGCGCCGGGCGCCCGGCAGGACACGTATTTAGAGCCCCTCCATGTCAAGGTCGCGGTGCGGCCGGTGCGGCCTCTTCGCGTAACGACGAAGCTGCGTGAGGCTGCGTCCCTCCCGCCTGGTTCTCCAAGTATTGTTGCTAGGCAGGCACACTGTTATTCAACGAATATGACGTCACATTCGTTAGAATGTGAATGTTGTCACATTCGTTTGAATGTGTTGTCACATTTGTTTGAATGTTGATCCACGCTTAAACGAATGTGACATCCGCATCAGGCGGCCGCATGATGGCCGTGTCTCGTTCAAACGAATGTGACATCCATCGCACTCAAACGAACGTGACAAAATTCACATTCTAACGAATGTGATGTCACATTCGTTGAATAACAGTGTAGGCAGGCAGCCCGCTTGCCACTGTGCCGGCCGGGCTTGCCCACTTTCCTGTCCGGCTATTGCTGTGCGCGGGCTTTCCTTCAAGGAATTTCCCAATCGTGTATTTACAAGCCCTTGCACCCAAGAAAGTGAAATCAAGAGTTCCCAGTCCGAGGGAAGTGATAAGACCCGTTCCTTTCGTCGTATTATGTGGCCTCTATCTTATCGCCGTTCGACACCGATCCTCAACATTGCCCGGGAATCTATAACCTTATTACCGTGGGGCGTACTTCAAACCGGTCATGTAAAGAGAGAAAACACAAGGCTCATAAAGGGCGATCAATCTCCGTTACTAGGTGACCACCAAGATTAACCTCTTCACAACAAGTGTTTGAGATGGCAACCGCTAGAAGCGCCATGTAATGCCATAGTATTGCTACATCCAGATAAACCCCCACGATGCACCTGTCGAAAGGGTTGCCAACACTAAGCAACGGGCCGTATCCGCAGACCTGGGTCTCGGAAATTTGATGCGGTTGGCAACCCTTTCGACATGGGTGAATCGTGATTTGCCTACTTGTTTTGGATGCTTCTGGCTGACGAAGAACGCTCTGGTTGCAGGTGCTGGCGGCGCTGGCGCTGCTGGCCGCGGCGGCCGACGCGGCGCGCATCCTGGCCGTGATGCCCATGCCGGCCCGCAGCCACCACATCGCCTTCGGCGGCGTGACCAAGGCCCTGGCCGACAGGGGCCACGACGTCACCCTCATCTCGGGCCTGCCCAAGGGCAACAAGATCAACCCGGCCAACAACAAGGTCATCTACCTGCCCAACCCTTTCGAGGACATGGCGAGTGAGTGCAGAATGGCGGCCTCCATATTTCGAGAATGGTGGGCGTTGTAGAACAAAACTAGAAATTTTAATTTAGAAATTATGTTGCACCATAATAACTGCGACGCCCACCGTTTAGGCATGTGCGCCTAATGATTTTTTTTACATTTTTTTAGCACTTCCTGGTTTGCGCCTGCCACGCCTTTACCAAACCTCTGTGTTTCAGACGATGTCCTGAAGGACTTCTGGGAGCAGAAGCAGAAGCCGTACGAGCAGCTGCAGTTCCTGATGAACTGGGGCGAGAAGTTGACCAACACCACGCTTTCCAGCCCCATCTTCCTGGCCGAGATCAACAAGCCGGGCCAGAAGTACGACCTGATCTTGGCGGAGCTGTTCTTCTTCCAAGAGGCCATGGTCGGCCTCGGACACAAGTTCAACTGCCCGGTGGTGGCGGTCAACCCGTTCGGCACTTCGAGCATGGTCAACGACGCCATGGGCAACCCCGTCAACCCGGCCTGGGTGCCGTCCCCCTTCCTGGGCTTCTCCGACCGCATGTCCTTCACGGAGCGAGCCATGAACTCCCTGTAAGGCCAGGACTCTGTGAACTTAGCCAGCGTGGCGCACCACGCGGCGTCGGTCGGGGTGCGTCCTAACGAACGTCCTTCTTTCCACAGGCTGCACGTGTCCATGCACGCGTACTACAACTACTTCTACATGCCGAAGATGCAGGCCCTGTCCGACATCCACTTCCCCGGCGCGCCGCCAGTCCAAGACATGCTCCGCTCCTACTTGGGCCTCACGCTGGTCAACAACCACTTCTCGCTGGCCTACCCGGCCCCCATGTCCCCCAACGTTGTGGAGATAGGTGGCATCCACATCCCCGACAAGCCCAAGGCCCTCCCCAAGGTACCCGAAACAATTCTCGCCGTATCGAACAAAAACAAATGCAAACATGATTAATATTTATTTTGACCTTTTCCATTGCAGGACCTGCAGGATTTCATGGATTCGGCGAAGGACGGCGTCGTGTACTTCAGCATGGGTTCGAACCTGAAGGTGGAGTTCATGCCCGAGAGCGCGAAGCAGGCGATCCTGGGCGCGCTGTTCGCCCTCAAGGAGCGAGTGCTGCTCAAGTGGGACGGCCCCCTGCCCAAGAACATGCCGGCCAACGTGAAGCACATCGAGTGGGCTCCGCAGGGCGACTTGCTGGCCCACCCCAACATGCGCGTCTTCTTCACCCACGGCGGGCTGCTCAGCACCCAGGAGTCCGTCTACTACGGAGTGCCGCTCGTCGGCATGCCCATGTTCGGCGACCAGCAGTTCAACATGCTGCTGGCCGCCAACAAGGGCTTCTGCGTCAAGCTGGAAATTAGAGAGTTGACGAGGCAGAAGGTCGACGAGGCACTCAGGGAGGTTCTGCAGAAACCCAAGTAAGTTCAAGAACCTATGAAGAATTCCTGTGTTTTTATAGTGCGCGCTCTGACACTGTCTCTGCCAATGTGCTCCGCAGGTACAAGGAGGCCGCCACCCGGCTGTCGCGGCTGTTCCGCGCCAAGCCCCTCACGCCCGCCCAGTCCGCCGTGTTCGCCGTGGAGACCGTGCTGGAGCACGGCGCGGACCACCTGCGGCCGGCGTCCGTGGGCATGCCGCTGTACCAGCTGCTGCTGCTGGACGTGGTGCTGGCGGCCGCCGTGCCCTTCCTGCTGCTGTTCCTGTGCTGCAGGGCGCTGTGCTGCGGGAGCAAGAAGGCCGCCCAGGAGGACCGGAGCGCGGCGGCCAGGAAGAAGAGGAACTAGTGCTGTGATATCTAGAGTAGCCAGGTAAATCTGCAAGTGCAAACGTGCCGGCCCGGCAGTGATCCAAAGCGGGAAGCCTGATGTACTGTGATAATTTTTTCATAAGTCGTTTTAACTCAGTATACGTGTGCAGTGCATAACACTGTGTCAATGTCAGTTGCGTGTGTTTTAAATTTGTGTCTGCAACGAAGGCCACCAAAGTGATTTCGGCATCCCAACGATTGCATACTAATGCTTCTCTAACTGTACTTCGTCACTACATTTTTATTTTTATAAATTTAGAAATTTATCTCTTTGGTATTTTATCATCAGAATTGATTAAATAAGACTACAGTTTAATATATTTATTGTTTTATTTCATCCGCACATATCTCCCAGGGTTGAGAGTTACAACGTATCGGCACTTAGGAGAGGAAAGGCGGGTGGCCGGCTGGCGGCGTCAAGTCAAAAGCACCGAGGCTTGGCGGAGCGCCGTGCCCGCTAGGTAGGCCACCTAGGCCACCTGCCCTTAATGGTAATGGTAATGCCAGGTAGGCAGCCCGCCAACCTCACGTGCGCAAGATTGCCCGCCCTCCAGGCGCTAAGGCTATCACCTTCAAATTGCAATCCTTTTCCTTCAAATGGGGCACGCCTACAAAGAGGCGGGCGGCCGCCACACAGTGGCTCTAGTAGGCTACAGGAAAGCACACATAATGTAGATAACGGAATACAGTCCGTGAGATATAAGGCTCTTGACCTACACAGTCACACACCTATACACTAGCACACTGCAAGGTTTTAACAAAAGATAAGCAGAAGTAATATTTTTTTTAGAAGGAATTGCATTTTTATATTTATTTTTTACTATTTTATCATACACCAGGTGGAAAATTTTAAACAAAAATAAAAGTGAAGAGAGAAGTTAACATTTAAAATCAGTACGTTGTCACCACAGCAGTTAAGAAACAGCTGGGACACAGGGGTTTTGGTGCATTATACCCATGCATTCCCTCCGAGTAAATTTGGGTCCATAAATTGGCAGACATAATACCTTAGCACTTTAAGCTTGATACAACATTTAGGTACGGAGTTCGTGAAAAGTAATTAACTCGGCAACAATCATGGTTGTCAAACGCAAACCACTAAGACTTGAAGTAAAACTTAAATCATAGAAACAGTTACAAGGATCACAGTTTTAACAATATGCTAGAGAGTAAACCGAAGCAGGTTATTTTTAGGTTTAGACGATGTGTTCTGGGCTCCTAGACAAGAACCACACCTCCATGGGCGTCTCGCGTCCCTTCATGGCGACGGGGCCGCGGTAGTCCAGCTGGAACTGGGGATCGCAGTTGTCAGGCTGATTCAGCAGCCTGAAAGCAAACGTTGGTCACATCCGTCAATGCGCAGCGCGTGTTAGTGGAATAGACATTCTGACGGCTCCCAAACCGGGACCATCGTCCTCGAGGAATCGAGTGTGCACAGGCCAAGGCCCGGCCAAGAGACGTACTTGAAGGCGTCCTCCGACACGTTGATCTTGCCCGGCTCCCCGGTGGTCTCAGTGCGGCTGGTCAAGTTGACTGTGTTGCCGAACAGGCAGTACCGCGGCATGCGGTGCCCGATCACCCCCGTCACCACCTCCCCCGAGTGGATGCCGATCGTGATTTTCTGCAAGAAAGTAACCATCAGAATCAGACCGCTTCCCCAGTGTCTCGCAGCGAATGGGGTGGGAACGGGAACGAAACAGCGTGTCATGTGGGTAAGTGTCATGAGCGTACCACGGGCGTGCCGTCCACCTTGACCTCGCTGCTGAGGTCCATCATGTCCAGGGCGAGGCGCGCCATGCAGCGGGCGTGCGACGTGCAGGGCTCGGGCAGCCCCGACACGGCCATGTACTTGTCGCCCACGGTCTCCACCTGCGGGCAAGAGCAGCAGTGTCACCCCACGCCTTCGGAGCCTTCGGACATCGGCGAGCTCTGCAAGCCACTCAAGGAGCTACTCGTGCCTGCTGCCGCCTCTGCGGCACGCGCTCAGTACCTTGTACACGTTGGGGTTCTTGCGCGGGTCAGTGAGCGTGTCGAACGCGGTGTACAGCTGGTTCAGCATCTGCACGATGGACATGGGGTCGCGGTGGGCGGGGTCGGCGCACAGCTGCGAGAAGCCCACGATGCCCGAGAAGAGCAGCGTGACGCTGGGGTAGCGCCGTGGCGGCACGGGCCGGCCGTGGCGGAGCTCCGTGGCCACCGACATGGGCAGCACGGAGTACAGCAGCCTGCAACAAGCGACGGCCAGGTACATTCCGAGGGTCGTTTTCGTCGCTCCGTCTCGCTCAAACTTGCGGGGCGGCCCGTAAGGGTGGGAGAGAGACGGAGTGACGAGAACGACTAGTCACAGTCTGCAGTGCTGCCATCAGTCCCCGAGGTCCAGGCGAGTCCAGGAGAGGCGGCTCCTACCTGTCCGTCTTCTGCTTCTCCCCCTCCAGCTCGCGGTACGTCTGCTGCAGTTTGTCGGTGAGGATCTCCAGGTTCCTGGTCAGCTTGTAGTCCGCCTCGAACTGCTCGGACATGAGCACCAGGTCACGCGTCGCATCGTGCAGCGGGATGTCGCTGATGAACAGCCCGCGCCTGCAAATGGAGGAACGACAGGAAGTGATAACAAAAGATTTCTCAAGGACAACGAATTTCTTTCACATTTCCTTCTTTACGTAAAGATAAAGAGACCGTCGAAACCCACTCGGCAAGATTCGCAACTCATTGACACGCACCTGGTGAGGTCGTCGAGGTTGACGACGCTGGGGTACGACAGGAAGATGACGGAGTCGTTCTCCGGGACGTACATCATCTGGCCCTTGAGGCGCAGGTACGTGAACTCGGGCGGCGTGTCGGGCTCGGCGTCGAGCGCGCCGGGACGCGTCTTGAGGACGTACACCGTGTTGATGTGCGCCAGGATGTTCTCGAACGTCAGGTCCAGGTGGGGCCGCACTGGCTCCAGGACGTCGGTCAGCAGGCAGCCCTCCTTGCGCAGGGCGGGGATGACTCTGGACACGGCATGGCCAGTCTGCACCACCGTCAGGTCCCGCGTGAACATGACGTGGAACGGGAACACGCGGCTGAAGGTGGCCGGGCTCACGAGCGGCTCTGTAGGCAAGGCCGGCAAGGAGACCCAAGTCAGACCCTGTTGAACTAATTAGTGATGTGGCGGCCTGGCAGGCGGGGCGACTCGCCACCCCAGCCGTGTTTGGCGAGGGCGAGGGCCACCGAGGGCGTGGCGGCCCCGCCCCGACCCGGCCGGCCGCACGCACACTGTATGCAGTACGCACCGCTGTTGAGCTCGTCCACCTCCTGGGTCAGCTGGCTCGCGTCCCCGGGCTTGCGCTGGTCGGCCTGCTCCGTGATGAGGAACTGCACATGGTCGCAGTCCGCCTTGGTGCGCAGAATCTCCACCTCCACCTCGGTGCCGTGCAGCTTGCTGGCCACAGTCTGCAACCCAAACAGCGCCAAACGGCGTCAGCGAGCGCAACACACAAGGAGGACCCTAGCGCTGCCCTAGCGTGGCGCTAGCGCGCCGGCCGGCGAGGCGGCGAGGCGCACCTTGACGATGCCGATCACGATGTGCTCCAGGCCGGGGCGGTCCGAGTAGTAGTGCAGCACCAGGGCGCCGTCCTCCGGCCGCTCTGTGCAGCGGAAGGACGGGGCGCGCATGCCCGGGTACAGCGTGCCCAGGTGGTCATGCAGGGCGTCCAAGTTCTGCAACACACAATTCGCTATTCACCTCTTCCTTTCCGGACAGGAGTGTCGTTTTACGTATAGTACCGTATATGTTACGAATGTCACCTGCAAGAAATCCCGGGGAGTGGCTCCCAACACCTGCAGGATCTTGTCGTAGCCAGACTCTTGGCAGAACTCAAAGAACATCTTGCCGAACAATTCCAGGATTTTGTCAGCGGGGATTTCTACACATCGAAGGAAACGTCGATATATTAAAAAGAAACAGTATAAATGGTCTTTTGACTCATAACATGACGATGTCATAGCTTGCAAAGAAGACAGAAGCAAAATAGAAACTTACTGAGAATGCCCACAGCTGCCCCGATCAGATTGTAGGTCACTTCGTCGTCGTAAATTTGCCGGACCAAAAACTGGCCGTCCATGTTCACCTCCGCCGCTTTCCTGCACACCAAGGATGTTTTTTGAACATTAATATCCTTCTGCTAAAGCACGCGCGGCTCAGCAGATACTTCTCTACTCACTTGATAGTCTCCCATGTTTCGTCGCCGAATGTCCTCACTACCAGCAACTCCAAGGCGTAGTTCACAAAGCCATACTGGAACAGAAAGCAATGCGTATGTTACGCCAGAGCCTCGTCCTCCTCCCTGGCGGGCAGCGGTCGTGATAAGCTACGCGCAGGATCCCGCGCGCAAGGTGTAAACAAACTCGTCTGCCGAAATAGCACTGCCTGCCTAAGCAGCCTGCCTCACGGTGCAGTGCGCTCACCTCGGTGGTGCAGGATCATGGGGGTGCTTCAGCGGGTGTTTTGGGGAAGGGCACCTACGGGTTCCTGGCTTTTTCATTATTTTTGTTGTTCACTCGGACGACTGGCAGGGTCTATAGTTAACCCCAACGCCTGATAGTAAAGCAACTCGCAGCACGGGCCCCACTTCAAACGCTCCAGGGGCAGCGCAAGGACAGCTCCGTTCAACAGCCAAATGACCGCCATTGCGGACACCTGGACAAGGAGCATGGCGCGGCGCCGGACCGTATCGCTGGCGGGCCTAACACACAGGGGCATATCCCCTCTAAATAGCGGGACGCACGCATATGCAGGGCCGGGGGCACCCCTTCAGTCCCTGTGGCCAGGGGCTTGAAGAAACTCACCATTTTGGGCGGAAGGGAGGCAGCAGGAGCCCTGCTTTCCTCTCCTGCTAGTTGCCGTGGCGCTGCGACGCAGCACTGCGAACCTGCGCACGGCCTACTCGGCCCCAGAGGCCCTCCCCTGCCCTCCCCAGCCGGGAACCCCTCCCCCCCGGCAGCTCCATCGATCTTGCCCCGGAAGAGGGGGGCGACCCCCTTCGCTACCCCTCGAGGCAGGGCCCGAAGCGCCGACCTCTGCCACCCCACAACACGTTTTGTCGTACAGTTCACACAACGGGGGGTACTTCTAAGCTCGGCTGCTTTTTTAGATTTTTCGTTTCAAGTTGACTTGGAAAACACAAACAACAGGACACCATTTTTAACGCCCTAGTGTACGAACGTGCTGCATATAATTTTTAAAGTCATTTATTTCTATTTTTAAGCTTTATTTCGCTTTAATTTAAAATAATATATATTTGCGAGGGCTTTTAGTGTTCTAGGGTTGCCATCCCTGCTCCTCCAGTTCTGAAACCCCCCAAGCGCCCACCTCCTTTCTCGATGTCAAGCTAAGGTGCGCCACTTGCCGCACTTTGAATAGTGCCGCGCCAAGCAGCCAGTGCTGCCAACATGCCGGCGCGTGGTAGCACGCACGCAGGCAAGCGGCCGCGCCGCTCGGACTGCCCCCCCCCCCCCACCGCCACGCAAGTGACGTCATTCTGGCTCCCCAGTTTTCGGCCCGGAGCGGCCCCAGCGGGGCAGGGGCGGGGAGGGAAGGGGGCGGCCAGCCAACCTGTACGCCAACCGACAAGAACAAGAAAGCAAACGTCACTGTCAGCAGCGGTCGGTAAGGGAGCGGTGTCGGTCGAAAGGCCCCTTCCAAGTCGTCAAGCGGTCGCTGGTCGCGAGCGGGGTGAGTGCTGTAACCTTTTGGTGTACCAATGTCGTGGCATCGGCCCCGGCACTGACTAATGACTGCCGACAGTTTGTCTTCTTCCTCATACACCACCATCTTGGGGGGTTTGCCACCAATTTTACATTTTTCTGACGTCCCAGAGCGAGTGCCGCTACGTTGACTCTTGGGTGTGTGGACTTTGATCTGCATTGTCGGCGTATGTTCATTAGTTACCACTTTTTCAGTAAGCCGTTATACTGTATTTGTGACAAGTCTGCAACTCTCATACAAAAAAAAATTCTCATTCATTCATTGAAATTTTTATTTGTTTCTCCCTTAAAGCCTGGCCCTTCCAGATAATCTGAATTTTGCTCTTTGCCTGTTACAGTTGTTCTACCTGCCAAGATGGGTTGCCTTTCGTGTACCTGGACATTTGTCAAAATTTTCTTGCTGTGCGCCATTATCACATTCCTCCCTGGCCTTCCACCCCATGCCGAATTCAAAGAATACTCGTAAGTTAACTGTGACTGAATGCTCGTAAAATTCTCTTTTTAGTTTTGTATCATTACCTGTGAATGTTGATCATATTTTTAACATTGTTACTTTCTTTCAAAGTGTTGTCAGGCCAAAGGCTTTGGATGCTGAACTATTGTTAAGAAGGCATCTAGACAAAGCTGAGCGTATATTTGATGGCCAGATAACAGGTCCCGAAGCCTTTGCGGTGTACAATGGCGCTGTTTACACTGGAATTGACGGAGGTTTTGTTGTTCAAATTGATGAGGGAGAAATTAAGCCCGTGGTGAAGTTTGGAGAAAATTGTGGTAAGATCTAAAACATTTTGCTTGTTCATCGTTCAGCTATTTGTTTATTACGGTAGAATATGACACTTCAACCGCTGTCCATGTTTCAGAGGACATTACCGAGGAGCACATCTGTGGTCGTCCTCTTGGCCTGAAATTTGATGCCGCAGGAAACCTGTATGTTGCTGATGCTTACTATGGAATCTTCAAGTACAATATCCAAAAAGGTAATATCTGTTTGCTTTATTTGGCTTTGCACCTTGCCTTTTGAATTTTTTAGTATCTTGTATGATAATTCTGCTTGATCTTTGCAGCTGAAAAAACACTGTTGGTAGGTGTTGATGAAGAAATTGAAGGGAAGAAATCGAAGTTTATAAATGATCTAGCTGTTGCTAAGGATGGAACAGTGTATTTCACAGTCACCACCACAACATTCCCACTGTTTGATGCTCTTTACGCTCTTCTCTCCCCTGGGGATGGAAGGTTTGTCTTTTTTATAACAAGCTTCATCTTATTTATTGTTTTTGTTGTATCAATGCTGTTTCAATTTCCTTCCAGAGTTGTCAAGTATGATCCTAGAAGTAAGAAAGCAACTGTTCTAGCTGAAGGCCTCTTGCTGCCCAATGGCATTGCTCTTTCTAAGAATGAAGATTTCCTTGTTTTTTCTGAAACTGCTGCTGCCCGAGTTATGAGGTATTGTTTAACATTTTTCAAAAATGATTCTTGTTTTTGCTGCTTCATAGTTTTAACAAAATGTTCGTCGCAGGTTGGATTTGAAGGGAAACAACAAGGGCACAGTTAGCATTTTGGCTGAAGGTCTCCCTGGGTTACCTGACAACATCAGGTTTGATGGACAGGATGGATTCTTCGTGGCTCTTGTCGCTTCTGCTGATGAGTCTCACCCAGCTTTACCTGTGACATTGGCGCCTTTCCCTAACATCCGGAAATTCTTGGCCCGTGTTCTTTACCTTCTTGAAATGCCTTTTATCCAAATCCACAAATTGTACCCCAATTACTTCACTCGTCGTGCCATTCACTCGGTAAGAATGACTCTGAGAATAATACTAACTCTCATGATGAGCTCTTGCCATTTTCGCTTTTAAAATGCGTGTTTTGTTTTTGTTTCTAGATTGGCCACTTTAGTGTAACTCAGCCTCTTCTTGGTGATCATGTCACCATCTTGCACCTTGACTCTAAGGGGGATATCACTGATGCACTTGTCGGTAGAGATGGTTCTGTGAGCCACATTAGTGATATGATTGTGTCTGGCGATTACATTCTCCTTGGATCACCTTACAATAACTACATTGGTCGGGTTCCCCGACCTAATGCACCACACCATGTCACCATTAAAAATGTTCGATTTGAATCGGCAGAAGAAGTTGATGAGTCTGCTGCCAGGAAGGCTGCAGAAGAAGCTCAAGCTGTACGAGCCAGAGAAGAACAAGCCAGAAAGGCTGCTGAGGCAGCTTCTAAAGCAAAGAAGGCTGCAGAAGAAGCTGCAAACAGGAAGGCAGCTGAGGAAGCAGCAAGACTGAAGAAAGAAGCTGAATCTGCAGCCCAAAAGGCAGCCCAACCCGGGTGGAACGAACTGTAGTCAAATCTACAATTTTAAAATGCATCTACAACTCTACAATAACTGTACTGCATCTGGACTCAAATTGAAGTTTATCTAGTGTTACAAATGGCAGGCTGCATACAAAAAAATATATACTTAGACTGCAGTTGGACTTATGTAATTACAGCAGTTTAACTGTAGTGAAACTACAGTTAAACTACAGTTAACTACAGTTTTCTTGCAAATAAACTGGTAGTTTTTTTGTAATACTGCAGTCGAATCTGCAGTTTTGACTACGGTCATCTCTCGTTTTAAAAATAGCAGTTAAAACTGGAGTTGCGAAGTATCTTTTAACTACAGTTTTAAAATTTATTTTTTAAAACTTTATTCCTTGTTCTTCGGGAACTCTCTCCCACCCACCCAACCCCTTTCTCCTTCGTTACTCAACGACTTTTGATGATGAAAGTTGTAGGCGGTGATGGTATTCGAACGACGGTCCTCCGGGTCGTGGAGCGGAGGACTTGACCACTACGCTGGCAGGCGGGCGTGTCCGGAGACGTGCACGACCCGGACCACATGACAAGACCCCCTCTCGTGACCCACTGATCGGGCACTGCAGTTCAACTACAGTTTTAATGCAGCATAACCATAGATAATGTGCACTTGGCTATCACAATTTCTACGCAAACTCACGTTTTATACCGTAAGCCTCACAATTTTGTTAGCGGATAATTTTTATAAACGATAGGGCCAAAAGAATCCGTATTAGAACCGCTGCCGTTGCTTTAACTTAACGAATTCCGTGCAACTGACTGAACACCATTCTGGTTATTCAAACACACAAAAGGAACTAAATTTGGAGAATTCGGTGAAATTATTTGGAATTGGGACAAAATAGAACACTGATTTGGCTGAACTGTGAAGTTGCTTACACAACTGCAAAAAAGGGCAACCAAAATTGTAGTCAAACAACAATTTAATTACACTCCTGAAGTGTGCTTGCTTTTTGCAAACGGAAGTACAATTTAAGTTCCGACTACACTGGAGTTAAAACTGTATTTAAGAACTGCACGTGAGACTGCAATTTAACTGTACCTGTACTGCTGTTGAAAATGCCCTCGATACTACGTTTCGATCTACAGAGTTAAACTACATTTAAAGTACTTTTAAAACTGGCGTTTCTGAACTGCAGTTTATGACTGTAGTCTGCACTCAGTCAAAACTGCACTCCCTTCCACCCGGGAAGAGGCTAAGGCTAAACTGGCTGCGGAGGAAGCCAAGAAGAGAGCGGCAGAAGAGGCACAAGCAAGGAAATTAGCAGAAGAGGCACGAGCAAAGAAAGCAGCAGAAGAGGCTCGAGCCAAGAAAGCAGCAGAAGAAGCAAGAGCAAAGAAAATAGCGGAAGAATCAGCCAAGAAAGCAGCTGAAGAGGCAAGGTTAAAGAATGCCGCAGAGGATGCAGCGAAGAAAGCCGCTAAGGAAGCTAAAGCCAAAAAGGCAGCTGAAGAATCCGCTAAGAGAGCAGCTGAGGAAGCCAAGGCAAAGAAATTAGCCCAAGAAGCTCAGTTTGCTAAAGAAACTAAGGCTAGGAAAGCTGCTGGGGAATTGTAACTGAAAAAGGCGACTAAAGAATCAGCCAAGAAGAAGACGCCAGAAGAAGAAAAAGCAATCAAGGCTGCTGGAAACTCAAATAAAAATTAGACTTATCTAATTTATTACAAGTTTTTTAAAGTACAATGGCACATAAAGTTATGCGTATCATTTATCAAAATTGTATGAAATTTTCCTTTTCCTGAAAGTGCATTTGTGGTGCTAGTTGGTATCTTATGTCTCTGTTTGTTGTCTTTTTTGTAACTTTTGTAATTTGAAAGTTATTTGTAGCCAAGTGCCCTGTGCTCAGTTAGTTGGCTGTGACCTGCTTTAAAATTTTGATAATTCCTCTCACATTCCAATATGTTTTTAGGATGTCTTGTTATCTTGCTGTGCAAATGCAGTACCCCGCCATTATCACTTACATGCCTTATGTGGGGGAATGATTTTTGAAGTGCAACAACTCATTGCCGTTTTGTTTTGTGCCAAAAACTGAGTTGCTTCTGTAAGATTCTACTCTATGTGAGTTTTGTGCTAACGGACTTTCAACATTCCACGAATCTTTCCTGTACTTTTTTTGTAAAATTTGATCTGCATGTATACCTTTTATAATTTGCATATAGTTGTAGATTTTTTTTTAAACCATCATTTTTGTGGGTATTTTGCTCACATCAATGGATCTGTGTTCTCATTTGTAATGTAAATTCTAATGTATGTATCCAGATATTCGTAGGGCAGCTCTCTTAGAGTCCTGATGGTGATGTTTGTGCATAATCATGAAATGTTTCTCTTTTATTGATCTGTTTTTTTCATGCTATGTGTCTCATTTCACCATTTAATTTGGTTACTTCCCTTCTTAGACCTGTTTTTACATGATTTTGTATCCCATCTGAGACCCTTGTGTGTTGCCTCTGCAACGAAGGTATCCAGACTGATGAGTGAGTGGTTGTTTCGTTTTGTTTCCAACAGCGATCTGTATTTTAAATCTGGTCATTATTTTCTCTGTATGTTAAATGGTTGTGGTAACTATAGCCCTTTCACAGTTGTAGGGCTCTAGTAGTTACTTTTTAGTTGTAAGATCTTTGTTCAACAATGTATCTGTAAGGTGCAGCAACTTAGTTGGTGTCAATGTCAAAATTTTTTTAAGATAAAGGATATGTATTAGTGGATGTACTGGTAATTTGTTTTCAGCTATTAAAAGTATAATTGTGACCCTTTCAGATGTTGTCTTTTACCTTTCTTACGTACAGACAAAAACAAAATTGGAATTGTATCAATGTAGTTTATTCTCTAGAAGGATTTCAGTGGTTTGTTGTTAATGATTTTGAATCCTTTGATTGTCATACTTTCATCGGCCTTGGTTTGCCCAGTGTTTGTAGAACTTGTTGTCCCTCCTCAAGAACATCATTTGCTGTGACCAGAGATGCCATTCTTTACTGCACACCTTGTTTGGAAGGTAAGCTTTCCTGTCAATACTAAATTTGGAAGTGGCCAATTACGCATGGTCGATTTATTGTGGATGTGGGTCCATTTCAAATACATGTTCAGCTCATTGATTTATCTCAGATATTTAAATGTACTAATTGTTGTTCCATTGAAAACTGTTGACGCGTTTTAAATGTGGAAAGCTAATCCTCCGTATGAATGTGCTTTTGTGAAAATCACGTAGACAGAAGATCACAACCACAATATTTATTTCTATGTACACAGTTTTAGAAGTAAATGTCATTCAATGCTTCTGTACAGCATATTGCTACAGATATTGCTGTATTAAAATTTCTACCATATTTTTTATATTGCATTTTTGTATTTAGTAGCACCAAACATTTTGTTTAGACCAGCCAAACAGTGACACAACTGATTCTTTTGGTTACATGCAGACAAGTTAGATTATTTATAAAGAAATCAATTTTAGTTTTTAATTACTTATTCATGGTATAGTTCATATTTAGATCTATGCTTTTGCATTCTATTTAGTAACGCATTTTGCAACTTTAATGCAACATTTTCTAATGCTGTACTTAATTAAAACATTCAAGTAATTTAAAACATTCAAGTAACATTTTATGCTTATTTAATAATTTATTCATCAAAATAATCGTACCTTTTAGGGTAGAGGAAGATATTTAACAACTCAAAATATATATCTTGAAGCAAGAGGTTGATCTCCAGCTTGATGTAACTTTGCAACAATCTCTTAATTAATGCCAAGGAATACGGAGCCTATTTTCACAACGTGGTTATAAATGGTCTGAGCCTTTAGTTCCTCCACCGGACTCACAAATAACCTGTGCGACTGACTTTGCTCCCTTGGCTTGTGTCTCTGGTGAGCGTCTCAGTATTACAATGAGTAAAGCAAGGTTTAAAACAGTCTCACATCTTCATTTCATACAAATATATTTGAAACAAAATCTTTGGCACATAACGAATAAAACAAAGTCACAATGGGGGAACATTCACTGTTTGGCTTCTGAGGTCTTTAAAAGCAAGTACTCAAGCAATTTATTCCTAAGAGAAAGACATCAACAATATAATTAATAACAACAACATTTTATAACAATCAAGTGAAGTGCTTTGCAGGATTTGGTTCAATGCTTTGTTCATACACTGCAAATGTTCCAATAAGGTGAATACCTCTCATAAGCATTTCATCTTGAGTGAATACAATAATTGAGCATGAACTAGATCAATGCACACCGAACCATCAACATTCTCAACCCACAAAAGTCTTATAGTGCAGCTCTTAGATCCATTTCCCTCAAGTTTACTGAACAGTTAAGGAAGTATATTTTTGTTTCATTGCACTCTGAGTAAGTTGCACTATGCTGCACTGTAAGTTACTTGAGGAGCAAATGGATACTAAAATTGCATTGACATGGGTGTAGTATTCCAATGAACTTTGGTGCAGACTGTTCTGTTAAAAAAATATATCTGTGATAATCCACTTCAGTCACCAGCCCAACATAAACTCTATTCTTAAATGAAGAATATATTTCTGCTTTGGACGAATAACACAACAAATTGCAATCTCATAATTAATTGTTTAAATAGTTTGTAGGCAAACAAGCTTATGAGACATTCTAAGATCCAGCCATAAGGGTAATTAGAACATGTCGGGGAAACAAAAATGAGAAAAGAAACCTAATCTTGATCTGTCTTAACACACACCATTATAAGCATTTAAACAACAAAGAAACGTCTGCACTGTTCTGCTTTTGAAGTAATTTCATTCTAAGGGAACCACTATGATTGAGGTCAAGGGAGCCGCAGATGCCGTATATTTACAGTTAAATATGCTGTTTGTTTCAATAGCAATTTTTTGTTCGAGTCCATCCCTTGCCTTGATTTAAAAGGGATTTTGGTATTTAGGCATTATTGGCCAAAAAAGACGCACAAACTGAAACCAAAAACACAATCAGTCAGGAGAATTTTCTGGAATAGAACATTTTCTCATCGATATACATTGGATATAGGTTTCATGAGGCAGTTTGACAACGTAAAATTCCAGCCCAATGTCCTCAAATTGAAACAGTACAAGGGTCCAGAATGCAAGGGCCTGCACTCTTGCAATAGCTGGCAGTGCATCTCGAAGTCTGGCACCGCAACCTATGTACACAAAACACCTATAATATTTACACAAATAGTTTGTACATCTTAATTATTTTAGCAAAGCACCAGGCCCAGTGCAGCCCCAGTACAGTGCTGCCATGGGATTATTGTTTAGGTCTGTTCCTTTATCACAAGTGTCTCATAAATATTAAACTAATTTCACTCCGGTCTTTCCCTTGCGCACTAGAAGACCTGCTTGAGCAATAACAACATAATAATCGTAACACTGTTAACGGTAGCTGGCAGTGCCAATGTCAACGGTGCGAGTCGCCAGTCCAGTCGGCACGATGAAAGAAAATGGTAAAACGAAAACATCAAAGGGCTGTATTGACGCGACCTCCGCCGGCTTGGGCTTCACCGGGCAGTCCCTGCTGGGGCTGAGCCTCTTTGCCACTGTGAGCAGGCGCCCTTGCGGCTTTCCCGTGGCGAGGGGTGCGGGGAGGGGCCCGCCCGGCCCCAGCCCAGCCGGCGGCCTGCTGCGGGGAGCGCAGCGAGGGAAGTCCACGACGCTGCGCTGCCCGGGCGTGTCTGGCGTGTCGCGAGGACCAAGGGCACCGCCTAGTAGCGGTTGACCGTCACCGACACTCCGCAGGACGAGGTGCTGGCCACGCTGGCCGAGGCGGCCGAGGCGGCGCGCAGACGCGGCCCCAGGTGGATGGGGGAGTCGTCTGGGTACGGCCCCGGGTGCGCCCGCTGCACCAAGGGTGGCACCTCGGGTGGCGTCACAGCCCGCGAATATCACAGAACCGTCTCCATCTCCTGGACCTCGCGCTCGTCCGGCCTGCAGACAAAGAACCAGTGTTAGGGCAGGAGGGAAGCGTCTCTTAGACACCGCTTTGGCGTTGAGGCCATGCAGCGCCGGGCCACGCCGGGCAGGGGCCGCTACAAGTAGTGGGGTGTCTTAGCGTGGGGCCTGGGGGCACGTTGCTTTGCGCTGCTTTGCGTGCAACTTCCTCGGAAATAGACTCTGATCAATTTTGGTACAAGCTCTCAAGTTCAAGTGAACCTGTAGCGCCTGTGAGATAGGCCACACATCCGTCACAGGTCGTAGGCAGATCCTTTTCGGGCCGCGAGGTTGGTAGCATTAGCATTCGAGTCAGGGGCAGGGCAGAGTTACCTGTAGCACCGCGAGCCGAACTCGTTGGTGAACACGTGGTTCCTGGTCATGTCGCGGTGGTGCATGAGCACGCCCGCGTGGGGGGCGTTGATGTGCCTGCAACCAGGACGAGAACAGTCAGCAAGGAAGGAGGTGCAGCCCACGCTGCGTAACGCCCCACTAGTGTGGGAGAGACAGCGCGACGAAGGCACCGCCCGGCGCGAGCCCGCTGGCAGGCCGCTGCGAGTCCAGCGAACAACAGCGGGACCGAGTCCCCCTAGTGTAGTGGCTGGCGTCGCTACCCCTTGTGCGAGAGACTCAGTGCCGACCGAGGCTGGAAACCCTTCGAGACAGGTTCGTAGTGCGAGTGGCGCTCAGTGGACTAGAAGACCGGCGCAGGCGGTCAAAACTCATCCAGACGTGTTTTGAGCTCCATAGACGAAACAGGACTCGAACCGAACGTGTGACCCCCACCTATGGATTCCTCATTCGGAGAGCAATCCATTGGTGGGGTCACATGTTCGGTTCGAGTCCCATTTAGCGACTCTGGAGCTCAAAACGCGTCCGGGATTTTGTCCGTCTCCACCGGTCTTCTGGCCCACTGTGCGCGGGGAGTGGAGAGCGCCCGGAGAGTGGGCCTTCCCGCCGTGCAGCCGCGCCGGCGTGCGGCCTACCTCGCAGGCGGTTCGAGTCCCATTGAGCGACTCTGGAGCTCAAAACGCGTCCGGGATTTTGGCCACCCCACCGTGCGGCGCGGCGTCTATCTGGGCAGCGCTCGGCGTCTCCGCGTCCTCACCTGGCCGGCGGCTTGATGCCGTGCGCGTCCAGGGACCGCTCCAGCTGCAGCACCCGCAGCCGCGTCAGGTCCAGCTCGTGGCGCGTCTTCCAGAGGTTGGTGTCGCAGATGGGGTCCTTGCAGCGGTGGTGCCGCAGGATGTCCTGGGCCTCGAAGACGGCGCCGCGGAACGTCAGGGACTTGCCCATGCTCTGCAAGCAGGCGCAGCAACGCGTCGTCATGACAACCAGAGGCTGCGGCCGGGCTGGGCCAGGCAGGGCCAGGCAGGGCCACGTGACGGCAGCGGGGGAAGGGCACTACTGTGGGTCCTTGAGTGCTGCGTCGTTAGAGGCACATTGAGCTTTCCGTGTCACGACAGTCTTTCGAACCCTGTGAATGTGCGGATCGCACCGCGAGGCAGAGGGAAGGTGCAGACCGTAAGCGTAAGTTGGGGACCAGCTGGCCAAACCAGAGAAAGAGCACAAAGTAAGTGAAAGAAGGAGGGACACTGCTGCAACATTTACTACGAGACATCGAAACAGAAGCGAGGACGACACAAAACCACATTAGCAAATGACACCGCATGCACTCGTCTTGCAGTCTGCAAAGAAGCTACTCAGACCATTCGAGTGAGCCTAGCTACCAACGGACGGGGACCATGGTGGCCGAGGTGGTGCAGTGTAGGTGCGAAGTACGTCCGTCCGTCCGGGCCGTGCCGGCAGTGCACGCCACACAGTGTCCGCAGCGGCGTCTCGCCCGTCAGGCCCGTCAGTGCGGTGGGCGAAGTCGCCTTCACAATACGCATGCCCCAAACGCAAGTTTTGCAAAAAGACAAACAAAATGCAAGCCCACGAATCTAAAAGAAGGAGAGAACGGAAAAGAGGTATAGTAAGGAAAAAAAGGAGAGTACTCTCTCCCAACTGTGAATACGGCACAGTGCGCCGGGAGGCGACTGCACGACGAATCCGGGACCAAGAGGAAATAACTCGGAAATATTTCAACACCGAGATTCAAAATTCATCCTAAATTAGGAAACTAAAAAAAAATCAACCAAATTCAAAGTTTACAATTTCCACGGCAACATGGCAAAAATAAAATAAGTGTGGAGAAAAATTTGAAATTATTTCCTCTTGTTCGGGACTCTTTTCCAAGACGAACAAAAGCTTTTGTCCATAAGACCTCCTACTCCATATTACGATAAATAGGAAAACGAAGTGACAAAACAACAGAAACAACAACGACCAATGTTTTCATTTCTTGAAGCTCCACTGTGAGTAACTTTATTGTACTACTGATCCGGCAATGTTCATGTTGATCATGTTAAGTTAATCGTGCGAGGAGGAACTGTGAGTGTCGATGAAAGTCGTGCTCACTTGAATTGCCGGCATTCATCTCATACTAAGGCAGTGCATTTCACTTAAGTGTTTGGCCAGGCCAGGCATGCTCCAAGTGACATTAATGTGGAACTATCTACTGAGACGAAAAGACAAACCTTATACCTCCCCTGCTGAGTGCGACGTGGTGTCTTGTTGGTGTCAATGTATGTATGTGGGTGTGTGCGCGTGTCAGTTGGTGTATGTGTGGTGTCTGGTAGACCTGTGGCCTTTTTATTTTACACGTTTGCATTTTAATCATTTTCGTTACAAATCCTGTCATTTTTATTTTAGAAAATGAAAGCCGCAAGTCACAACCTTCTACTTTTTTCACAGCAGTGCTCCATCATAGAGCGGAGTTTAATATGGGCCAAATTATTAAGGTCCTGTTTATGAGCAAGCAGAGGGACACGGAGGGAGGTGACGGAATTGGCCGTGGAGACAGAGACGGATGAGACAGACCTGTCGAGGAGAAGAAGAAGAAGGAAGACGAGCAGAGAGGAAAGAGCAAAAGAACGAGAGAAAGAGAGAGGGAGAGCGGGCGCCCCGCCGAACGCTTTGTAGCGCGGGGGGCAAAATGGGGGCGGTGTACGACTTTTTGCCAAAACAAATGAGGACGCAAGACAATGAGACAAGAGGATTATCCTGAAGACAAGATCCGGGCCCGAAAGGCAGCGACAGAGATACTACTACAAGTCACGGGCTGAAAATAATCAACTAGATTTAAATCCACATTACTTTTGTGTTTAGTTTCATTTCTAAAATGTATAGAAGCCACGAAGCGACTTCGGGTCTAGACAAGATTGTCCACTGTTTAGATTTTGCTGCAGTTGGTTTGAATGAATCACGTGAGACAGAGGCGGATGTAAAGAAAGGCGGTAGCCGTTCGTAAATTCAATTATTTTTCTTTTTAAGGCTCGGTGGACAAACTTGAGCAATAAGCGACAGCTGCGTTAATGCCAGGCCAGTGTCTACCACACAGTGAAGCGCGGCCTGCCCAGCCAGGGGGCTCGGCTGGGGCGCTTGAGGGATGATGTCCACTGACAGCGCCCCAGAGACGCGCCCTGGACGGCCAGGCTGCGCTTGCCACACTCAGAGGAAGTATATAGAGTAAAGAGAAGAAAGTGAAAAAAGATTGGAACGAGCTTTTACTTGACTCACGAGACTGAGGAGGGCGCAGCAGCCGCCCTGGTCCGTTTTGGCGCACTTGACCCGGATGTACTTGAAGTAGATGTGCTCGAAGAAGAGCAGGATGGCGGCCAGCAGCACGCCGGACATGAGCAGCAGGAAGGCGGACAAGAACTGCTCCAGCGCCAGCGGGTCGCTCGTCTTGTGCTCCTGCTTGCCCGGCTTGCACGTGCCCGTCATCCAGTAGCGTCGCAGCCGCTCCAGGTCGCCTGCGAAGCGCAGTGCAGGGGTCAGTTGCGGAGGCTTCTCGTTTTGAGAGGTTTGGCAAGCACCATCGAACCAAGTGTGCAGAACTCGACACTCGGACGTGTGGCGTTTGCCAGCCTTCACACTTCAAGTGTAGAGTCACTCACAGAGCCCTTATATCTAGGCACAGTGCACTTGAAGTGTGGAGGCTGCAAACTCTGCACTATTCCAAGTGTGGCGACTGAAAATTCCACAACTCCGCAACACCCGGTTTGACAGTGAGCTTCTACAGAACACGACCCCTACCGTTCTCTCTGAAGTCCAGCAGCCGCTTGTTGAACATCTGGACGTACTTGGAGTTGCGGCTGAAGGCCAGGCCGTAGCCCGTCTTGGCGTACCAGGACCCCACCGTGAGCAGGCGGCAGTCCTCGTCCTGCGCCACCAGGTAGTCCAGCACCGTGCCGTCGTAGATGAAGGCGTCCAGCTCGCCGCTGTTGACGGCCGCGATGCCCTCCTGCACCGAGGTGCGGTTGAAGTTGCGCATGTAGGCGTGCATCTCCACGAAGTAGCGCTTGATGGTGGAGTCGGTGTGCGAGTACGGCGTCGTGCCGAACTTGAACATGGGCTTGTGGCTGTACGGCTTGCTCAGCTGCGGAGAAAAGGACAGTCACACACGCTTCAAACCTCACCGAGCATTTTGAGCACGTGTAAGGTACAAACTATTTAGTTTGTTATACGAAGAAATAGTTCGTAAATTATGAAGTATTTTCTTTGTAAGCTTATGCTCAAAATACTTTGATATGACAAGCTACTTTTCTTTGTAACTCCTAAAATAAATAGTTTGTGAGGTTTACAGAGCGCAAAAAATCTTCTCCAAAATGCCCTGACAACAAGATAGAACCACCATGAACCATTCCTGAGAATCCCAGGAGATGGATTTACCGTGAGTGCGGGCTGTCACTCTGGCATTCTCAAGAGACAGTAAGAAAATTTCTGGGCGAAATGAACAGCAAAGACAGGCGGCCGGCTGCCGAGTATGGATGGCCGCTGCCACGCTGCGCAGCACTTACCCTGGAGTCGTCGACCCCGGTGAACTCGTGGAACTCCTCTCGGGTTATCATGAAGGCGGCCAGGTTGGCAGTGTATATAGCGAGGAAGACGACAGCAAACATGGCCCACATATTGGTCATAAACCTGCGCGCGGTTTTAAAGAAGGGAAAAAATGTCATCACTTTAATTCCGCTCAGCGGGGATCCTTACGCCCCGGAGGTAACGACGAGGGTAAAGGCAGAGGACGCCGTGGCCAGAAGACCGGCGGAGGCGGCCAAAATTCTAGACGCGTTTTGAGCTCAACAGTCGCTAAATGGGACTCGAGCTGAACGTGTGGCCCCGCCATTAAATGGCTCTCCGAACGAGGAATCGATTGGTGGTGGAGCAGACGTTCGGTTCGAGTCCTGTTTGGCGACCCCGGAGCTCAAAACGCGTCTAGAGTCTAGGCGTGGCGACGCACTCACTTGGAGGTGAAGCCCCTGGGCGAGTCCACGTGAACGGCGGCCTGGAACAGCACCGCCCACACCAGCCAGTACGTCCGGAACAGGGAGAAGCGGTGGTTGGCCGCCGGGGTCACCTGCAGCACCACAAGACCGTCAGCACTCAGCACTCCCTCGAGACACCTGTTCGCCGTCGCGACCTTCACCTTCATGTCGAAGCCCGCCGGACTGAGCCACTCGAAGAGGAAGATGGTGAAGGTGGCGGCCTGGATGGCCACCACGCCGACCAGCATCCAGGACGCCGTGTCGAAGGGCTCTGCAGCAGAGAGGCGAGTCAGAGCACTGTGAAACTAACTCCACATTTGAAATGCGGAGCCGGGGAATTCGCATAGTCCCGCACTTGGAAGTACGGAGTGGGCAGTCGCCGCACTTCAAGCGTGGAGTTCTCCACGTTTGCACCAAGCCAAGAGACAGGGGCTCTGAGTGGGCTGCCCCACACTTCAAGTGTGAGGACTGCAGACGCCACACATCCTAGTGTGAAGAATTACTTGACACCGGGAAGGGCGAAGTTCTGCACATTTGGTTTGACATCACATTGAAAGGAACGCGAAGTGGGGTTGTCGCTCTGTCTCTCTTGCACTCGTGGGTCGCCCCGTAGAGGTGAGAGAGAGACGGGGAGAGACGGGGAGACTGACCCAGGAAGGCAGTGGGGGAGATGATGCCGGTGCGCTTGGCCACGGCGATGGCGATGCCCGTCTCCATGAAGGGCACCGTGAAGTCCACCACGCCCTCGCGCTCCGAGTTGATCATCAGCGAGGTCATCACCATGTCCGTCTTCCGGTTGATGAGGTCGGCGACCAGTCCGTTCCAGCGGCCGTTCTGCAAACAGGCCCACGCATCAGCAAGAGCAGCGGCAAGGCGCCGCCATCCCGCCCCAAACTTTGCTGACCCAAAGTGCACGACCGCGAGGGACGCGAGGGCCGCGGCAGCGGTTCGCTCAGCCGCATTATTTTATTTGCCCCTAACTTTGCCGTCCGGGCCGCTACAGCGAGGCCGCGAGGCGGGGCCGCGAGGCGAGGCCGCTAGGCAGCGCGGCGACGCGGCGACGCGAACCGGCCGCGCCAGTGGCCCACCAATTTCTGCGCCCGCCGAAGCAGTTTCAACTTTGGAGCGGGGGACGAAGGAGGCCGCAGAAACGAGATCAGTGGCGGGCGGCTGACTCGCGGGCACACTCTAAATCGAAAGGCGGTTATATTGCCACCCTTTACTGGCGGTGACTTGGAATTGGCGGGCTTTTACCGCCAATAATAGAAAAGACGGTTTGTGCATCTCCGACCAATAGCTTTGCAGTGCAGCCACATAAGCTTCCCAGTGGGGTGTCCTGGACGCGGACAGACGACAAAACAGATCCATGCCTTTATACGCGCGACTTGTGGGAGGGGGAGGGGAGGCTTTGTCGGTGTGCGCTCCAGCTCTGCCTGACTGACGAGAGCTCTCGCTCTCTCTCTCATCGGCTTACGCTTTCTCCCACACGCGGTTCGGCGGTGCCGCTCTATGTTTGTATAATAGACCGATGGCACTACAATTCGTTGGACCTGGGCCCCACGTGCCGTCCTCGACGCGGACCTGGGCTCACCTCAAACGTGCCCCACTTGCCGTCCTCGACGCGCACCAGCTCGTACGTGAAGCCCAGCTCCTCGGCGAACTTCTCCAGCAAGTCGATGCAGAAGCCGGAGCAGCACTGGTAGAAGGAGCTGTTCCGGTGGGCGGAGAACTGGTCCATCCTGGATGCACACAAAGCAAGGTGTCACAGAGTGAGAGGACAAACATTTCAGTCTCGGGGTCGAGCAAAGTGGGTTTGAAGGCCATTTTTTGGTGTCGGCGGGACCAAGAAGGCGCCTGCAGACGGTAGGATAGACTGGCCCGCCGCTCGGGTGAGCTGTGCGGGCCGCCCTAGCCAGATTACCGTTACCATTAAGGGCTGAACCACACATGATCGTATGCCATTTCGGGCCCGACACATGCTCGCCTGCACTGCAAAACGAGGAGGACAGCAGGCTGATTCCGAGAGCTGCTCTCTTCGTCTCTCTCGCACCTATACGGAGCGCCAGATGAGTGCGAGAGAGACGGAGCGACGCAAGCAGTGCTTCAGCCTGCAGGGCGACAAGCGCTGTTCAGAAATCGCTGTGCCGCCACTGCAGCGCACTGGCGAGGAAACGTTCCCCAGCCGGGTTCCCTTAGGTTCCCCTCCTTCATTTCCTTTTTTTAGGCACGAAGTAGCCTTATAGTATACCCAGGATTCAGCCGGCCCGAGATTCAATTTGTGTGGCCCTTTATGCATTTCGGAAATTTTCTATACGATTTTAATGAGACTTTGCAGACTTGTAGAACTTTGAACGCTGATTCTCATGCTGAAATCTGGTTAAAAAGTTAACGGCCAATTTTGAGAAATTTGCTGTCAAAATCGCCGTTTCCATGGCAAAACTCGACTCGTCAAAGGAAAAAAAAGGGAGTGGGGGGAGCCCGAGCCGGGGAGGACCAATAACCGAGCTTCTTTTTGGGTCTGTACAGCTTACTCCAAAAGCTGAAATCAGCACGTTCGAAATGAAAAATTTCTTTGACTGCAGGTAGACAAGATGCAACAATAGAATTGGTGTCGGTTCGAACGCAGTTTTTCGGGTAGAACTATCCAATAATACTTCTTGATCGGAGTGTTTTTGGACATGCGCAGTAGGTTTGCAACCTGTTTAACAGTTTAACCAACTGTAGCATTTGAAATCTGTATTAATTTTGCTCTCTTTCTTGTTTTTTCCTTGTTTCCTGCTTATGAAAATTCATATAAAACAAATTTTCAATTTTTATGTGGTGACTTTCTAAAAAAATATTCACAGAAAATTAGCAAAACAAAAGTTCTTTTTTTCTGACATAAAGTTTCTCAAATATTACTTTTTTCTGTCAATAAAACAATTTTGTTGTTGTTGTGATTCAGTTAGCACTAGGACCACTTCGCTCCACCTCGCGACTTGCAGTGCTCATGTTCCTCGAACAAGACTCACCCGCGTTTCGAAACCATCCCTCCCGAGTTTATGAAGTTTGTCAAACCAACCGTCGTGGTGTTGATACGTTGTGAGGGAGTACTATTACACAGAATTGAAGAAAACATGACTAGAGAACCATAGCCTTTTGAAACAAGCCAAACAATTCAACGTCAGCAACAATGGAGGGGCAGTTTTAATGCGCGACTGCTGGTGCTTTCAGCTTCGCGATTTTCGCAAGGGCGCAGACGCCGAGAAACTAGTTGCCAACCCGTGAAAATTAATTTACTGCCTTCTTTCTGCTAAGAACATTTTAATAATGATGTTCCATTGTCAGAACACTGCGGAATACATTAGCATTGGAATTTTTTGAATTTACCAGCATTTTGATTTCTATTGTCAAGTTTAAATTTCGACGGGTGGCACATCGACCAACATCGACCTTATTGGTACCACTGCCATTGGTAGTCCCCTGAGCCACAACTTCACAACACCACTTCTTTTCTTTCTCCACTTCGTGACTCCTAGGAGGGCACACTGCGAGAGGGAGCCTTTGCGGGGCGCCTCGCCCCTCGACCCGGCATGCCGCTGCCTGCCACGGGAAGCCGCAAGCCGCCCTCAGCGCAACAAGTAGCAGTGCCTGCACAGTGCCTGCACAGTGCCTGCACAGTGCCTGCACAGTGCCTGCACTGTGCCTGCACCCTTTCGGCGCCAACCTGCCTCACCAGGCGAGCAGCGCAGGCAGGGCCAGCAGCCACAAAGAAAGCGGGAGGGGCCTCCTTTTCCCCCCTACTGTCACATTCCGTTTACGGCAGAGCGGCGGGCCGCGCTTTCAAGAATTTAATCCAACAAGTCGTGCAACCGCTTTTTAGAGAAAAAAAAAAAAACAAACAAAAAACAGAGCTTGGGTAAAGAAAAGAAAGATTTGCGCACAAAGAGCGCGGGCTGAAAATGAGAAAGGACTTCGTTTTCAAATGCAAGGGGTCTACATTGACATCTACGAAGCATTTGGTTAAAAGTTAAAACTTATAACAAAACCACCCCGAATCCTACATAACATTCGAAACGAAGAAAAAGGACGTAAGGCGGACGTTTCCCGAGTGGTTCCGCCGGGGCACCCTCCGACCTCCGCCCCGGGTCCGGTTTGGGATCGGGACGCGCCGAGACGCCGCCAGGGCTGAGGGTGGAGGGCCCCTTCCAAGGGCAAGGATGCGAAGGGGGCCGGGGGCGGGGCGGGGCGGGGCGGGGCGGGGCCGGGCCGGGCCGGAATGCTGAATTTCCTGAGCCAACCGACGCCTTCCGACCGCGCGGGGCCCTGCGAGGGGCCGTGCGAGGGGCCTGGCACTTGAGGGAGGGGCGGGGAGGGGAGGGGTTTAGGTCACGAGGCCACGACGCCCAAATCACTGTCCCTTGCCCAGAGGCTCTGCGCAGAGGCTCTGTGCAGACGCGTCTCCGAGGCGGTGCCTCACTTCGACAGCGCGGCCTCCGGCAAGGCCTCTGGACTGGAGACTCCGAAAGCATGCCAATTACGGCTTCTCGCGACGCACTGTCTCCCCCCTTCCCCTCCCCTCCCCTCCCCCGCCCCGTCCGTTCAGTGAGGAAAAAGGCCTTGCCAGAAGATGAACAGCATAACTTGGGTGCACGGCCACTCCGCACCAGGAAAGCCGCTGGTCATTTCCCAATCTCGCATCAAATTGAGTCAACCTCCATAAATGAGCAGCCCTTCTGTGACCGCGTGACCGTCGGCACGGTTGCCAACCGGGGTGAAGGGCCCAGAATCCCGATGTCGCTGTAGCAGGCGTAGGCGAAGGCGAGGAAGATGGTAGGGGGAGGGGGAGCAGCAAGGGGGGGCGCTGCGCCTTCCAGAGGAACGGCCGAAACTGACTTTTCGGCCGAAGAGTGACATGTAACTCGCCTGTAATGTTGACTAGGTCCCTAAACACTATCGGTGTGAAGGAATTGCCTACAAACTAGTTACAACGCTAACCTAGGTCGCCAGCGCGAGCGTGCGGCGGCTCGGCGTGCGCAGCGCCATCTCGCGGCGACTCGCGGAACCTCGTCCGAGCGCGAGGCCAGTTTGAGCGGTGACACTCCGTCGGCACGCGGCAGTTTGTCAAAAGGAAAAATTTATCTCTGACGCCTTGTGCTTTCCTCGGACCGCTTGGCTGCGGACGCGGCGCCCCGGCGACGGGCAGTGAAAGCGGCGCCAACACTCTCAAAAGCCTTCGCAAAGAAAAGCAATAGCGATCAAACAGTGCCGCGGCCAAGGAGCCCCAAGCCGGCCGGGCCCTGCCGCTAGCCTGCCTGCCTGCCTGGCTGCCCGCCTGCCTGGCCGCCCGCGGCGGGGGCGCGAAAATTATCAACGATTCCCTCTTGCGGCCCACACCAGACAACACACAGGCCGTCTAACCCCTCCCCCCCCCCTCCTTCCGGATGCCTAGCGTCGACCCGGCCCCGGTCTCTGGGCGGCATATTTCTTCGTTTGCCCGCCCTGGCAAAGTTTGCCGCCAACGCCCTTCCCCCCTCCCCCCCTCCACACGTCGCAATGTGCGAGCAGTAGCAGCGCGGGGAAGGGGAAAGGGGGGGAGGGGGCAGGAATGCATCAGAATAGAATCTACTTCCGGCGTCCAGGGGAGAGAGTCGGCGACAGCCAGATAAATGCAAATACCGCGTGCCCGCGGCACGGCACGGCACGGCACGGCGGGACTGGGGCAGACTGGTACACTGTGACCGCCATCCCCGTGTCGTTACTGGACTCGCGAAAGAAATGGTGGGATTCAACAAAGCGAGTGCGAAGGGCGCTGCCTCGCAAACAGCGTGGTTAGACTGCATAAAAACAGATTGTACCTTCCACTCATAAACTGCCTTTGGACGCACGAAGCACTGTTTCATAAGATTATGAACGATTTGGGTACAGCCTAAGCTGTGAAATAAAATAGTTGTTCGGACTACGAACTGAACTGAATTGCAGCAGGTCTACGCCAAACTGTACGCCCCAAGTTCTTCTTCGGCTTTTTACAGAGCTCAGTGCTCTGAGCGCAGAGAACCCCCTCCTGGCGTCCCGTCAGAGGTGGCTTCTCAAAATTATTTTCCACCCGTTCCGTGTGATCTGGGCGTCATCCCCCTCCCCAGAAAAAAATGCCAAATAATTGACGGAGAAAGGAGGAGAAGAGGGGAGGAGGGGAGGAGGGGAGGAGGGGAGGAGGGGAGGGGAAGAGGGGAAGAGGGGAGGAGGGGAGGGCTTGGCGCGGAGCCATGGAACAAACAAGAAAAGCGCTCTGGCGATTGCTTTCGGAGCGCACTGCACAGCGGGCGGCGGCGGCGGCGGGCGGCACACTGTATACTCACTCCGCCACGTCCTGCTCGCGCGCCACGCGGCACAGCACGCCGCGGTTCATGTTGCACTTGACGGTGACGGGGTCGGGCGGCGCCAGCTGCACGTAGGGCGGCTCCTCCAGGAAGGTGATCTTGAGGTGGAACTTCTCGGGCACGCCCTGCGGCGGCGTGTGGCTGTTGCCCGGCCACACGATGTCCTTGATGTCCAGGCCCTCGCCCTCCCACGACTTCCACACGCCGATCTGCAATCACAGCCTCGTGTTAGCGCTCTCTCTCGCACTCATGGGCCGTGCCGCCGTTGGTGCGAGAGAGACGGAGCGACGAAAACGATCCTCTCGGAATCAGTCGCTGCTGTCTCTCAACCGGGCTGACTTCCAGGGGCACTGCTGCTCGACGTGTGTGACGTCATATGCATTTAAGTGTGAATGTTGCCACGTTCGTTTGAGTATGATGTCACATTCGTTTGAAGATCAGTCTCTTGACGTCATTTTCAGGAGGCATGGGCATGAAAGAGAGAAGGAGAGAGAGAGAGAGAGAGAGAGAGAGAGAGAGAGAGAGAGAGAGAGAGAGAGAGAGAGAGAGAGAGAGATTGGGGGGGGGCAGAGAGAGGCGCCAACAGCAGGCCGAGAGATGCCACGTCCCAACGAACGGAGAGGATGCCGATCATGTTTCGTTATTGGACTCTTGTGTCACGTGTCTCGTGTTCACGAACGCGAACGAGATGCCGTGATTCACATTCGAACGAGCGCGACACGCGTCGCATCCGATCACAATGTTTCAAAACATCTTGGGCCCAAGGACATCTGTCCGCAAAAGAAATTGCCCGTGATGGTCGGAAGAAAAAGACACAGAATCCGTCTTGAATAAGTTCCCCGCAGGTAAAGAACATACTTGATGTTTTTGGACCAGCGAAGCCTCCGGAAATTCTCAACGGAGTCTAGGAACGCACACTTTCTGTCATTTTCAAATTGCTACTTCAAATAGCTTCTGAGTGTGACGTCACGCTCACCTCCTCCCACACCATCATCTGCTTGTTGTTCCCGGGCCGCAGGTTCATGATCTTGAGCTCGGCCGCCTTGAGCACGCCGTCCGCCGTGAACTCCACGTTGGGCTTGCCCATGTCGTTCTCCACGCTCACGTTCCGGAGGTACCTGCAACGTCAAAGCACAGGCGTCACATCACTGTTAAAGCACGTGTTGGGGAACCCTAGACACCTCGTGGTGCGGCGTTTGCAGTCTCCACACTTCAAGTGTGGAGGTCACAGAGCCCCTATCTGGTGGCAAGGTGCACACTTGGCTTGTGGAGACTGCAGACAGGTGCTTAAGTGCGGTCCACACCTCCGCATTCCAAGGAGTTCTCCACACTTGGTTGAATGGAGTTCTCCCCACTTGTTTGAGTGGAGTTCTCCCCACTTGATCGTGTGGAGTTCTCCACATTTGGTTGTGTGGAGCTCTCCACACTTGGTTGAGTGGAGTTCTCCACACTTGGCTGTCAAGAGTTCTCCACTCTCGGTTCCAGTGACTTCCCTTTTTTCGGAAGAAGATTTTGCAACTCCGCACCCTGCTTCCCGAAGAAACTGGTCGTGTCGGCCTCCGTAACAGTTTGGGCCCCTTTCCTCGGGACGGGTCCAATTTCAACCGGTAGCCCCGCCTCCGGTGGCGCCGCCATGGTGCCATGGCAACGCCGGCAACGGCCTCGAAACGCGAATTTCCGGCCGGAGCCGGTTAGAGGCTGGTAGAGGCCGGGCGGGCGGAGCCGCCGGGGCACAGTGGGCCAGAAGACCGGTGGAGGCGGCCAAAACTCTAGACGCGTTTTGAGCTCCAGAGTCGCTACATGGGACTCGAACCGAACGTGTGACCCCACCAATGGATTGCTCTCCTAACGAGGAATCCATTGGTGGGGTCATACGGTCGATTCGAGCATTGTTTAGAGACTCTGGAGCTCAAAACGCGTCTAGAGTTTTGGCCGCCTCCTCCGGTCTTCTGGCCCACTGTGCGGGGCAAAAAGAGGGAGGGCCGAGAGATGAAGTCGGAGTATCCCAGCTCTCCCAGGTTGCGCCGGCAGCCTGGGCCTATTACTGATGATTTCGCAGCGGCCAAAAGTAATTCCTGGGGAAGGGAAGGTCGAAGGGGGAGGAGGAGGGGGAGAAAAAGGGGGGGGGGAGTAACAGGCGGAGGCCCGAATCCCGTTCGGAAAATAAACCGTCCGCCTCTGCAGACTGATTCCGAGAGTCGTTATCGTCGTTCTGTCTCTCTCGCACGAGTTGGGCGACCCTGTGGGTGAGAGAGAGAGAGAGAGAGAGAGAGAGAGCGACAGAGACAGGCGACGAAAACGACTCTCGGTCTGCAGCCGGGCTTAGCCCCAGCGCGCCGAGACCATTTGTGCCACCGACGTGACAATTTATTACGGCAATTTCTGACATTGTCTTTGGTTTACGAATGGGCAGCCAATGGCAGCGGCCGGCCGGTAGATTGGGAAGGGGAGGGGGGGGAGAGAGAAAAGACTGCCCGCGAAACTGGACCCTGGTGGACTGATGCAGAGAGTCGTTTTCGCTCCTCTGACTCTCTCGCACCCACACGGAATGGGTGATGAGTGCGAGGGAGACAGAGCGGTCGGAACGACTCCCAGCCTGCGGGGTGCAGATGAGCGTCTGGCAGCTGGAGGCGGCGGCCCGGTGCCTTGGTCGAGGGCCTTGGTCGAGGGCCTTGGTCGAGGGCCTTGGTCGAGGGCCTTGGTCGAGGGCCTTGGTCGAGGGCCTTGGTCGAGGGCCTTGGTAGAGGGCCTTGGTCGAGGGCCTTGGTCGAGGGCCTTGGTCGAGGGCCTTGTTGCGGCGAACAGCTGCCACCCAATCGCAATCACCCACAAAAGTCTTTTCAAGTTTCATCTGACAGGTGGTAAAGCGACCTTCATATCGGATCTCCTGTACCAGGCGAGACGACCTCGACATCCTCCCATAGAAATGACCCGTTCATTCCTAAAATTTGATTCGGGGTGCCAAGCGTACCACCGAGATCCCCGGAGATTCCTTTGTTCGCCGTGAAAGCCTGTACCATTCCATCAAATTAGGGGTATCCTTTAAGGGGGGAGACTCGTCTTTAACACAAAAATTTTAACAAATTTCAGGCTTAAATAAAAAATGTTTCCAATAGATTTGAAGGTTAGTGGGGTTTTCCAATAAAAAGCTGGTTCTTTAATCTTGATTTTGAAAAAAAAAGTTTGTCTCTAGGCCCTATGACCTAGAATCTGTGATCTTTCTACTAAAACACTAAAATGCGCCAAAAATTCACTGCGCGCATGATTTTTGGAGAATGCGGCATCATATCATAAATGTCTTTGTTCCTCCCTCAAGAAGACTCCTGGCACTCTAGATTGAACTAGAATTATTGAAATACCTCGTTCCTAAGTGCCTGAAATTTACATTTTTAAGTGTATTAAAAAAAGCCTTTAAATTTAGACATTTCAATAATTTTTATCGGGCACTTCTACTGGGCCGATTGAAGATATCCTAGTTCAGAGTGACGGTCTTATAGAGGCCAAACATAGGAAAAATTATTGGGTCGAAACAATCAACGGTCTGGCTCAAATCGTGCGCGCAAGACCCAAAATATTGCAATTGAGTAAAATGGCTTCAAAGTTCGAACGGTCTAACCTATCCTGTGGAAAAATAATTACAAAATGTCACCCTATGGCCAAACGGTTTTGAAATTCAATACCAGCCAGCCACCAATTTCAAGGGTTTAACACAAAGAATTCGAAAAACTGAAAAACGAAAATCTGATTTTTTGACGTAGAATGACGAGTCTCCCCCCTTAAACGTGCACTGAGCCGTGTACGAGTTTCGGTTTGCCGGTGAAGGGCCAGGCCAGCCTGCAGCCCGGCGGCCCAGCGGCGGGCCTAATAACAGGGCATCATCGGACGTGTCCGGCCCGGAAGGGAGAATTAAAACGCACGGTCGATTGCGCATCCATACACGGGCGGTAAATCGCTTTTAACCCTCCGACCTCGGCCAGGCAGTCAGGCAGTCCACGGGCCACGGCACGGGAACTGCGCGGCAGGCCGGTAGCCTTGTGGGAATCCAGGGACAGAGTAAACGACAGGCGGACAGGCAGGCAGGTCGCTGGTACAGCGCAAACACCTCGCGTCCACTGGACCAGCTCGTGTGGTGGCGGTGCCGCCAGTGGCGGGGCGTCTGACAGTGGGGATAACTTGCCCGTCCAATACCCCTACCCCTCCCCATCCGATACAGACCCATGTCCACCCCGCCCCGCCACATTCCCAGGAACGTGCCGCAGCCGGGGCGTGGCGTGGCGGGGCGGGGCGGGGCGTGGCGGGGCGGGGCGTGGCGGGGCGTGGCGGGGCGTGGCGTGGCGTGGCGGGGCGTCCAGATAGCTGTCCCCTAATTTACTGGCACGGAATGTGCACTGCCCCTCCCACCCTGCCCCACCCTGCCCCCACACTGGCCTGGGCCAGGCGAACTCCGGTTCCGCGCAGTCCCCGAAAAGCAGTAGCCCGTGCTGGGCCGCACCACAACGCCGCAACGCCGCAACACGCCGCGCCACGAGCGCGCTCAGCGCTGACTTCCTACCCACTTGCAGCCCCGACCATCCCCGACCAGACTCGACTGGAACTCGTTTGAACCCGCTCCGAACATGCGGGCAGAGCCAGACGGAGCCTCGCCCGGCTCTAGCCTGGCCGACCTCGATGCGGTCCGCGCTCCGGAAATTGCATTTACAGTGTGCGGGCGCGAGGAAGGAGATTCCATCTCGGAACCGATTATTGACGAGGAGAAGGGCAATGTACCGTATGACTTGGACATGAGCAAGAAGTAAAAATATACAAGCAGGAGAGTGAAGTGAGCTGCTTCTTGACGACTTCCGTGTCGCGGTGAGGGGATCATGCACCCAGCGCCGCGCGTTACCCGTTTACTCCTCTTCCCTCCTCTCCGCCCCCGGCGGTCGGAGTCTCACTCCCCGGGGGTGGGGAGAGGAGGGCACTAGATCACCGCCTCACAGTGGGCCAGAAAACCGGTGGAGGTGGTCAAAATACCCGGCGGGTTTCAAGTACCGAAAGTCTCAAACCGACCGTACGACCAATGGATTGCTCTCCGAACGAGGAATCCATTGGTGGGGTCACACACTCGGTTCGAGACTTTTGGAACTTAAAACCCGTCGGGAATTTTGGCCACCTTCACCGCGGTTTTCTGGCCCACTGTGCGCCTGAAGGTAAGCAAAAAACCCACGCGTTGCCCCTGCAAATCGGCAAGGCGTGCTTCTTTCCCTGCCCTCAGGCCGGCTCCGGCAACGCCATGCAAACTCACTTGTAGAAGCGGTCACCCGTCTCCCAGCGAGAGTCGCCCAGGCCGGCGCCCTCGCAGGACAGCTTGGTGTTGAGGGACAGGTTGGCGTTGCGCGGGTCGTTGACGAAGTCCTCCACGCCGTACGCGTACACCTTGATGGCCGTCGTGATCTCCGTGACCAGCGACGTGCTCGACGTGTCGAAGTGCACCCCTGTAACACGAGTCAGCGTTAGTGCACTGCCAAACACAGTGGAAAGTGCGGAGGTGTGTAATTTGCACACCCCGCCTTCCTTGCTCTGCAAACTGTACTAAGCGGGAAGGAGGTCGGACGAATTTCGGCATGTCGGATAAAAAGAGGTCGTACAAACGATGTACTCCGAAAATACGCCCTTTAGGGCATAAATACTCTGCTACGCCGCTCCAGGGGCGTAAATCGTTTACGTATTTATAGGGCATAATTTTAATGCCTTTGTTTCACCAGTGTTGGAATAATTTCCCAAACCCTTTCGCGCTTTTAAGCATAGGACAAGCGTCCTGCTCCCTCCCTCCCTCCTCGGTGATTACGCAATGCGTGCACGGCCCACGGCCTATCGAACGGGGAATTATCAGAACAATGCCTTTTTTTTTTGTGCGGCGGAACTCGGGACTCTGGTCCTGCTCCATTTCCGTTTGTCGTCGCTCCGCAGCGCCCCGCACTCGAAGCGACTCGAGAACGATTCCAAAGCGCCCGGAAATGGGAGCGGACTCTCGAACCGCAAAACGCGAGTTTTGCGCTTCCGATTATGCCGCCTGCACTGGTAGGGCCGGGCAGGGCTTTACAGTGGGCAGGCTATCGGTATTCTGGGGTTGGAGGACGTGGGGCATGGCACATGTCGGGCCGGCAGTCAGCCACGCGGCGGTCAAGGCAATGCCGGCACAGGCGGCGCCATCCCATCACCACGGCATGCCACCTCGCCATCGCGAGCCATCGCGCCAAAGTAATCAGCCACCATCACGCCGCCAACGCTCGCCCCGCTGGCACGCCGCGGCACTGTGGGGGGCGGGGCGCGGCACGGCACGGCACGGCATGGCATCGCAGGGTACGGCGCGGCACGGCACGCCCCGTTGGCGACGCCACAGGTGCCAGAGACCATCATCGGATGCCGATCATGACGAGAGGCGGCGAGGCAGCCTTCGGCCCGTGTACAGTGTGCCGGTGTCGGCGTGTAAGTGTACCCCCCCGACCCAGAGTACCCCCGGGTACACAACGCCTAGGGCCAAAGTACCCTGGGGTACATAACGACTAGGTTCAATGTACCCAGGGGTACAAAGCGCCTAGGTGCTAGGCGAATTGTACCCCGGGTACAATGCGGCTAGGCGAAATGTACCCCGGGGTACATTTTGCCTAGGCGAGGGGGCAAAAACTCGGGATTTTCGTGTACACATGATTCGGAAAACGAAATGATTGCGCATGGTTTTAATTGATTTCATGGCTGATTTTGCCTTATTTCGCGACGCACCAGGGTGATGTTGAGCGTGATTGCGTTTGATTGTGTTCGGAAAGAAATGATTTCGGACTGATTTGGCCTGGTTTCGTGTGATTCTGCCTAATTTCGGTCGATTTTAGTGATTTTGGCTGATTTTGGATTGCTTGATTTCGCGTGATTCTCAATGATTCGCGTGTGATTTCGGGGGCCGTGTACACATGATTGCACGAGTTTTTGCCCCCTCGTGCCTAGGCTTATTGTATCCCCCGCCGGCCGGAGGAGGATGCACGTCGCCTAGGCGCAATGCATCCCCCCCGGATACAAAGAGCCTAGGCGAGGAGTATCCCCTCGGCCGGCCGGAGGGGGATACAAAAAGCCTAGGCGCAATGCATCCCCCCCCCCCGGATACAAAAATCGAAAAAAAAGAAGAAAAAAGGGGGGCCCTTCTCCCACCTCCGAGATCGGAGGGCCGCCTGCAACTTCGGTGGATCGGGGGAACCGGTGCTTTACAGGCGGCGACCCCAGGGGTTCTCGTCTGTATATGGGCCGGGCTTGAAGGGCGGGTTTGACAGTCTCTCTCTGCCTTGAGAGCCTTTGCTTTTCGCGGGGTGGTCTGTACCAAATGTACACCCGCTGTCCGGCGCTCTCTACCAAACATACAGCTTGTTTAAGGGCCAGCTTCAAAGGACTAATCATCTCCTCCCGACGAATCAGGAGGACCCACCCGCGACCAATTACGGGTGGCTGGATTGACGGATCAAATACTCCGTCGCTCCAGTGCCGAGGCCAACCCGCCGAAGCGCAGCTGCTTTTTAGACACCCCAGCGGAGTGGCCAGGTGAATGTGACTCTGACCACTACGCTATCAAGCTTGTACGTCTGGCGTCGTGTTGGACAACGGGTTTGAGTTGCAGTGGAAGGAAGCCAGTCGAAAAATGTAATGAAATGATGGGAGTCGATCCCAGGACCCTACTGCCGGGACCGCACGACTTTTGCCGCTCGCCCACCACAGCCCATGACGAATGGAGCGGCGTGAGGCGGGCTCTTGACGCGACAGGAATGGACCGACCCGGTCAAAATTTCACAAGAAGTTTGGGGAGTCGAACCGCCGACCTCAGCACGGAGAAGCGACACCTCTACTCCCTAGACCATCACGGCACATGGAGTTCGTTGGCTGAAGTCACGGTTTTCAACCACACTGGGCGAGGCAGTAAAATTAAATGTTAATGTTTGTTAGGAATCGAACCCCCGACGTGTGGGACTGTTCTACACGGCTCCGCTCTGGTGGCCTCAAACCGTTCCACAAAAGGAAGGAAATCGAAAAAAAATTGAGATGCCGGTATTCGAACACCGCTCTGTGCAAATGTTACAGACGTTCGATCGCATTTGCACAGTGCGGTGTTCGAATACCGGCATCTCAATTTTTTTTCGATTTCCTTTCTTTTGTGGAACGGTTTGAGGCCATCAGAGCGGAGCCGTGTAGAACAGTCCCAGACGTCGGGGGTTCGAATCCTAACAAACATTAACATTTAATTTTACTGCCTCGCCCAGTGTGGTTGAAAACCGTGACTTCAGCCAACGAACTGCATGTGCCGTGATGGTCTAGGGAGTAGAGGCGTCGCTTCTCCGTGCTGAGGTCGGCGGTTCGACTCCCCAAACTTCTTGTGAAATTTTGACCGGGTCGGTCCATTCCTGTCGCGTCAAGAGCCCGCCTCACGCCGCTCCATTCGTCATGGGCTGTGGTGGGCGAGCGGCAAAAGTCGTGCGGTCCCGGCAGTAGGGTCCTGGGATCGACTCCCATCATTTCATTACATTTTTCGACTGGCTTCCTTCCACTGCAACTCAAACCCGTTGTCCAACACGACGCCAGACGTACAAGCTTGATAGCGTAGTGGTCAGAGTCACATTCACCTGGCCACTCCGCTGGGGTGTCTAAAAAGCAGCTGCGCTTCGGCGGGTTGGCCTCGGCACTGGAGCGACGGAGTATTTGATCCGTCAATCCAGCCACCCGTAATTGGTCGCGGGTGGGTCCTCCTGATTCGTCGGGAGGAGATGATAAGTCCTTTGAAGCTGGCCCTTAAACAAGCTGTATGTTTGGTAGAGAGCGCCGGACAGCGGGTGTACATTTGGTACAGACCACCCCGCGAAAAGCAAAGGCTCTCAAGGCAGAGAGAGACTGTCAAACCCGCCCTTCAAGCCCGGCCCATATACAGACGAGAACCCCTGGGGTCGCCGCCTGTAAAGCACCGGTTCCCCCGATCCACCGAAGTTGCAGGCGGCCCTCCGATCTCGGAGGTGGGAGAAGGGCCCCCCTTTTTTCTTCTTTTTTTTCGATTTTTGTATCCGGGGGGGGGGATGCATTGCGCCTAGGCTTTTTGTATCCCCCTCCGGCCGGCCGAGGGGATACTCCTCGCCTAGGCTCTTTGTATCCGGGGGGGATGCATTGCGCCTAGGCGACGTGCATCCTCCTCCGACCGGCGGGGGATACAATAAGCCTAGGCAAAATGTACCCCGGGGTACATTTCGCCTAGCCGCATTGTACCCGGGGTACAATTCGCCTAGCAACTAGGCGCTTTGTACCCCTGGGTACATTGAGCCTAGTCGTCATGTACCCCAGGGTACTATGGCCCTAGGCGTTGTGCACCCGGGGGTACTCTGCGCCGACGGGTACAGTTCGCCTCCTACACCGGCACCACGCCATACCACACACCGCCAACGGTTTCCAATCACCGGCCAGCGCCACAAAGCCGCTTCTGCCCCCTTTCGGGTGACTCTGACGGTCATTCTGTCTCTCTCACACCCATACGGGACTCCCCGTGAGTGCGAGAGAGACAGAGCGGCGGAAACGACTCTGCCGGCCGCCCTTTGACAGAGGCGCCGCTGAGCGGAGGGCTGCCTCGGAAAACCCGCGTCCGTCCGTCAAACCAGAAAAGCGCCTCGGACGTGCCCACGCTCATTCCGCGAAGTGTCCCCCCGCTCACAAGAAGCGCCACTGCGGATTGGAAAAGCGAAGCATGAGATGGAGAGAGAGAGAGAGAGAGAGAGAGTTTAGTTTATAACAGGATTTATTGGGGGGTTTTTAAGTTCACAAAGCGGGCCAAAAAGGGGTGTGTGAAAATTTGTCACAAAAAAAACATGCAGTTTTGATGTCTCTTGAGGTATTTATGGTGCATGATGCAGTGTTTTACAATTTGTTTTTTTTTTTTATTTTTTATTTTTAAACAATTAACATTTTTTTTAATAAAGAAAATAAGATAATTTAATAAAGAAAAAAGATTAGTAAATAATATGCATTTTTAAGGATACTTCAAAAAGGTTGTCTTTATGGCGCCGTGCAGGTAGGCAACAGCGCACTGGCTCTCTTCGGTGTGACGATGGTGGCCTATGCTCAGGGTGGCAGGGGCCCGGTTTACAGCAAAATGATGACTGATTTAGACTTGCAAGAAATGGATTGTAGACATATGTTTACATTGAAATTGTTTTTCTGGAATTCTTCTTTCTTCTCCCTTCTTCATTTTCTACAAAGTGGTGATTTCCTCTTTGAAGAAAAGAGAGGAGAAATTGATTCGAGGGGTTGGTATTTCTCCTTGTTTACATTTTCTTCTTTTTCTTTTTCTTGAGTTTGAAGCTTGTTGATTTTGCTTGTGCTTTTCTAATCAGATAATTAAAAATTTCTGAGGGCATTGTTGATGTAGAAAGTCTCTTCAAACTTAATTCTGAAACCTGTTACTTCAGCGTGATGTTCT